GATATGCACAAAAATTTTCATAAGAGTCGGACAAGCCGTTCCGAAGGATTGGCGCAAAAAGGATGAAAGTCGCAGTACGAGCCGAAGGCGAGTGCTGTAACTTGAGTAGGTAACAGTCATCATGCTCGAGAAGAATACTACACTCTATCTACATTTATCTACAACTATTAAAATGTCGAGAAACTCTGAGAGTTGAAAATTAATCTTTGTTTCTGACATTTGTTCCTATCCATCATTCGGTTGCAACTTTGAAACGCTTGGAATTCTTCAAAACACTCTCTTGGGCCGTCAGAAATATTTCTGCAATCGGAGACTTTCTTGAAAATCTAATGATAACATCTAGCTATACTATTTCTTTCTGAATCCCAAAAACGTGATAACGTAATGAAGAAAAATATCCTTTCAGCGTAATGAAGGATACTATTACCTCTAAACAATCTAACCTAAGCGCAAGAATTCAGAGAGCTACCTATGGAAGTGGTGTAGCTAGACACTTCTTGAATTTCTTACTCATGATGTTCTAGGGTTCTGATGTATAACTGATTTTAATAATTTTCATTGAGAAAATAGTATGCGAAATAAACCATATCATTTAAGGACATAATAATGAGGATTTTATGCGAATAGGATATATACACTGATGAGACCTCGTGGCCCGAAACAGTAATGGCGTGTTCTTTCTGATAGTTAGGGCAACTAGAGTGGACAGGTATAAAGTCTATATATAATGAATTATGTGTTCTGTAACGACATTCTCTGAATGTGATGTGAACAGTCGAATTGTTTCACCCCATCATTGTCGTTTGTGGAGATGCAGCGAAAATAGACCTGATGTGGTATCGTTAATGACAACGAATCAGAACTGTTCACGTGTTTATGCGAACCTTCATAGACAGTCAATAATTATTAATTGAAACTGGAGATCGTAACGGGAGCCATATTCGTTATGATGACATCATATTCACTGGATGATTAATTGAACTCGTACAACGGTCGGTAAGTGTTGGATGGTTTTGTTCCAGGATAACACGTTTCGGATATTGGCGTTTGTCAATTTGAAAAATTTGTATACGATGAGCGCCATCTCCTATTAATTAATGAACACGGAGTTGATTCTCTAGAGTTGAGTGCACTCAATATAGAAAGTGAATATAAGTTGCATATCATTATTTTGATCCTGTCCATTTAACAATTCACAGGGTGGTCATGTTTCGACGAAGAATGTTCCTGGAATCAGTTCAATTACTAGTGATGATTCTACAACTAAACGAACATATGTGCTCAAATGATTTCTTATGGTAATATAGGGTGTTTAGTTCTTATAGTTCAAGAATTTCAATAGGTGTCGATTTGAAATGTACACATTAGGAGGGTAACTGTGAATGAAAAATGGGATATTCGTTAGTTAGTCTACAATTCCAGGCCCTTGTTTCATTAGAATGTACAACATTTGATCGCCCTGTCTAGGGTCCGTTTTCACAACATTCAGGAAGATTTTTTGCCTGAAAATCGCGCCCAACTTTGGCAATTACTTTTGGAAATTTTCTTTACGCATAATAAAATTATTTATATCAATTCAGGCATCTGTTGAAGTTGTTTTGTCGTATAACCACTCTGCATAAAAATTAGTAATCAGCAATATGAAAACCGATCAGATTGGATTCGGAAGTTAATGCAGAATATTAATTAAAATTCGAATACTTTGAATGGGAAACAGAAACGGAAACTACCTCATAGAATTGGAATTTACATTTTAATCGATACGTTCCTATCTCAAATAAAAGTTCCCCAGTCGATTTCCCAGTTACTCTGAAAGAACATTCCGAACGGAAACTTCTAGCAGACGGTGTAATACTCACTCCGATTGTATTTATTTCATAGAACTATCTAAAGTGTATTGAGTCATTAGACTAGAATTTAAATATTCCAATTTGAGTATTGAAGATAAAATCGAATTTTTCCGTATTCAATGCATAATATTCTGTTTGATTTGATATGTACTGAGAAAAAAATTTGTCTGATGCACTTAGATGAAATTGGGAAATTATATTTAGTACGATGAAACTAGACGTAAACCCAAACTTCCTAGAAACAAAAATGCCTCCTGCTCCAAATAGTTCCGTCTGCTTCCCTCAGCACGTAGTAGATGGGATTGGGTAGGAGGGTTGGTGGAAATTCGGAAATTCAATTTTTTCGCAGTTTTTTGCCTATATCTTGAAAACTATGGGGTTGAATTCTGAAGGAAAAAGTCATCTACAAAATTCTTGTTGATGAACGGTTACGGAGATATGGAGAGGAAAAAAGTACATAATTTCCCAGCTTGGCAAAAAATAACACTATGTATATGAAATTTGTATTCAGCTCATATAAATTATGCAGAGTGGATCAGAATAGCACCAAGAAAATTCAAGGAGTGATTCTGTAATGGAAATAAAGGTGGGTATTTGTTTTTTTTTTTTTTTGATAAACCTCTCTCCGAAAAAGTTACACCCCTTCGAACATTGAAGAAAAAAATGGTCGAATCAATTTGGTTTTATCGTACTAATTGTATTATATGCATAAAGAGCGGATACACTGTGACCAAAAATATCTATTGTACTTCCTTTTTTTGCCATACTCGTTAAATCTGCAATTTTCCTGAGAAATTTGAATTCCAGGATATGAAGTGGTTCCAGATGATGTAGCTCCTCGTCTATGTGTGCTCTTTGGTTGCTTGCCGATTGGTTCTGTAAAGTTTTCCTCCTACTACCCACAGAACCTGCATTCATCTTCTTGTAACGGAATTTGGAAATCATATCCATTGTGAATTTTCTTCAATAAGTAATTAGTTGAGAGAAGAATAGGAATGTCAAACACCATCGAGTGTTGGAAGCTCTCCGTTGATATTGTTATTAACTTCGCTACATATCAGAAGGACTTTTCTCCTCATTCATTCTACAATGACAACAAAGTCAGCTCGTTTGTATATACTCGGATTCTCAGTACTTTGTTGTTGTTATTTTAGGATATGTCTCGACTTGGCGCCCTTGTGACAGTGAATGTCCCATTCTACTTGTCGAAACATATATCCTAGCGAACTTCCCGTGATTGCAAATGTGCTACATCTCTTGACACGAATCAGTATTGACAAATGTAATGTGAGGGTCTTGAAGTTTCAATGAAATCACGAATTGATTCACTCAATATTAATCAATCAACGCAGCTCGAGTATAATAAGTATACCTAACGACTATATGTATACATCCAAAAAGTTGAACGAACGAAGTTGTGACGAACCATCACTCGATGATTCCCCGAATTCCTAGTGTACCGGGTAATTCATAAGACTATTCAACCAGAATATACTATCGCTGATAGTGGTAACGACATATCGTCGGTCAGAATACGAGAAGATATATTTCAAAAATTGTTTAGAATTTTCCAGGACAAGAGTCTGAAATATCGATACAATGTCTGATCTTCCATCATGAAAAAATCAAGAACACAGGAAAAACTACATGAATTCTGAGAAATACTCTTTCGTGAGCTTTTACTCTTGGTTGTATTATAATATTGGAAGATACTATACGCCCTTTCAAGTTTGTGCTGATATGTATAATGTTCGATAGGATTTGAAGCAGCCTATATCTAATAGTGAGGGTTGCTGGGCTGTGTGCACGTGAATATATACCAAAGAAGGGAAGATTTGTATTTCGTGCAAAATAATTTATTGAATATTCGTAGCAGAGCGCTTTCGACTGTTAAGTCATCATCAGTGCGTACCTGTAAGTAAGTAATCTGCTTTCAGCTAATCGAAAGAAATTGAAATTGAAAATTCCAAAAAAAATTTCGAAAAAATATTTTGGATTTTTTTTTTTTTTTTCAATTTTTAATTGGAAATTAGTTTGATGTTGAAAAAGTAAAAATTAAAAAATAATGTATTGGCGACTTGTTACTTTTTGATGAACTTTTGAATCGAAAAGACATTATATAAAATCGAAATTTGAAATTGTTAAATGTGAATTTGGAAAATGATAAAAGTGAGGTTACTTACTCGTCAGGTTAACAGGGAAATTCGTCCATAAAAATATCTTTGGTCCAGTTTATGTCGTTAGTTTCAAATAGGTGATGTTTCTTGAATATTTCCGAAACGCCACGTGATGAAATGATGCAATTTGGTACAAGAAATAAACTTCCAGGGTTTCATTCAGGAGTGTATAATACAGGGTGGGACTACATTATATATTGCTCAAACTTTTTCGCATGAATATTTTTTGATAATTAAATCTCGGATTATGAAAATTCATCATTTAAAAAAAAAGTGCTCGTGCTCCGCATCGATCAGATATATCATTTTCGAGTGAACCGATTTAAAAATATTGATGCACTCACATCTTATGCATAACGTAGCCAATTTTCAAATCATAGTGGCTTCAAAAAAATCAAGTACTCTCTTTTTATCAAACAATCTCATAAAAGCGCGAGAAATAGGAAAATTATGATCAAAAAACTACTTAAATTTTTGTGCATTTTTTTCCATTTCTATCACGCCTCATTGCAATGTTGTGCATAATATCTGAGATGTAACAATATTTTTATATTGCTTTAACTCGATAATAATACATCTGATCGTCACGGAACAAGAGTAGGTCCTTTTTTTCTGTTATGAGGTGTGAAATTTCATAATCCGAGATTAAATTGTCGAAAAATATGCATACAAAAAATTTTGACCAATATTTCTTATGGTCCCACCCTGTATTATAGACTCCTGATTGAAATTTCGGAATGATTTCATTTTCACTGCATTGGCCATGGAAATTTTAGTAATTGTATCAAATTGCATCTATTTATTACATGAACTTTCGGAAATACTCAAGAAATATCGACTCATGTTCATTGAAAGTTTTATATCTATTTTTGGTAGTAAAGGCCGCTGGTGGAATTTGGCAGGCTAATTTTTGAGCACCCTGTATATCTAACTGCCATTAAACATGTATTTTTATATATTTATGTCGTTGCAGTTCCCCCGATGCTCTGGATCCCGCATCAGCTGGTGGGCGCTCCGGTCGGCTACTCCGTCACCTTGGAGTGCTTCACTGAGGCGTACCCCTCCTCGCTCAACTACTGGACCAAGGAGGACGGCCAGATGATCCACGAGTCGCGGAAGTACCGCGCGGAGAACGTCGTGGGAAGTCCGTCGTACAAGATGCACATGCGACTGACGATCGGCAACATCCAGGAGAGCGACTTCGGGACGTACAAGTGCGTCGCGAAGAATCCTCGCGGGGAGACCGACGGCACGATCAGGCTGTACAGTGAGTAGTTTTTTTCTCTGGGGTTTGGTTTTCCGGAAGGTTGGAATCGGTGGTGGCGGGAACTATTCCGAAGTTGAAAATGTGGCAATTGAACTGTTCATTAGTATGAAAAACATTTTATCGAATCTATGGCAATTCTGCTGGCTCTTTCATATTTACTCGTATAAACATCATGAAGAGTTACTGTATTTATACATTCCACAATTTTCGACAATGACCGACACTATATTTCTTTCTCGGAACATAGCGATTTTCATCACGTTTAAACATATTCTTCTTCATCCTGGGACAATCTAGACATATTTTTTATCGCACCTTGTATATCCATCGTCAAGACCAAATATAATTTCATACTTCTGGAACTGCAATCGTATTTTTTTGGATTATATAATTTATCTTAACGAAAATGCATCATTTTGATTAAAAATGCGTACCTTCATTATTTGACCGTCGATCCGAGAAATTACAAAACCAGTTCGAGGTCAGACACCAGACATCCTCATGACGAAGTAACACTCCATTATTTCACTAGTAACACAGAGTGTTATGTTGCATCTACTGAAGACTACGTTATTTACCATTTCATCATTCAGTATTTCTTGTATCACTTTGTATAGACTTCTTCAGAATTTCCTGTGTTCGAACACAATCACATATCCAACGACTATACATACAACATTGATTCTTTGAAAAAGAATTCCAACCTCCAATTTTATCCGATTAATCGACGAAAAATGCATCATTTTGAATGAATATTCATAAAACGATCATCAAAGCTCTGAATTTGAAAATTTCGGAAATGTTTCGAGAGAAAGCATCAACCAAGAGGATACAGGTGAGAAAATGAAATGAAAAAAATTATCAATTCAAACTGTAAGGTGACGACCATGATGCAATTTTACACCCATTCAATTATCACACTGTAGCAATGTTATCTGGAATTACAGAAGCTTCATATTGTCACAACAAACTGTCAAGAGATTAGGTTAATCATCGGTGAAAACCGATTTTGAATTGGTAAGGAAATTCGTGAATTATTCTACTTTGAATTCAGGCTATATTTTGGACCACGACGTTATCAATGTTGACCAGTTCATTTTGAGAATGAATAACTGTTTTCAATTTTTTTTGTTGATTGAAATTTTGTTCATTATATCGAGATGAATATCTATTAGCTGCATAGTTCTTTTTTCAATTATTTCAAAGAAATAAAAAAGACTGTCTGTAGGTTAATCGATTATTTGGGATTTTCTTTCCTCGTTCCTATAAAATAAAGATATGAGTATCATATGTGTAGTAGGACAAATCAGATGATTCGCCCCAAAATGTCAGTGCGTTTGAATATTTTTTCTATCAGGGAGCCTAAAAGGAAAGTCCAATTGCTTGTCAGTAACACTTTGTTTGGAAAAATATTTGAAAAAAAGATCGTTTCGAGAACGAATCATCTCCCGTTCTCGAAAATTGTGCTTTCATAGTTTGACACTTCTCAGAACCGAGGAGAGAAAGTCCTAAATGATCAAGTGAAATGAAAGAAAAAACACTCATATGAGAATGAAATAATGTCCAAGTGGAAAAAAATCATATCAGATTATTATTTCCATATTGAATGCTCAAATTATTAGAATGAAATAATACTTACTTTCAATTTAATAGGTAAATTATTGGCATTTCAGTATCCCAGTACTTCTATTTCGAATATTAAAGTCCATTGGACGTAATCAAGTAGACGTTTAACATCCAATGAACTTGTATTGGATGTCCTTAGGACACCACTTTGGACGTACAGTGGTTGCCCATATCTAGATATACAATGAATATTCATCTTTGGACCCACAATGGATGTAAATATCTGACCACCTATCGGACTTATCAAATTTGACGTTGAACGTCCAATAAACATCCATAGGAGGTGTTGAGGACACCACTTTGGACGTACAAAATAGCACCTCGTCTTCGTCTTTATCACCCAAGTCTGGTCTCCCCTCCATTGTGGCAGAAAAAAACAATAATTTTTCGTCCATATTTGTACGTACGATGAACGTTCACATAATGTCCATTAACGTTCAGACTTGAAATGATTTTCTTCAGATGTTATTAGACATTTATAAAAAATAGTATTTTCTTGGGATTGAAACCCAATGGATTTGTTTTCAACAACAAAAACTCATTCTTGTCTCTGCTTTTGCGATATTATCAGTCAAATATATTTCCGTTATAATTAGGTCATTTTGAGCTCGGTCGAGAATTGAAAGAAACGGATCGTATATCAAAAACTCGAATATAATTTTGTTGAAGTCGAGATTTACGCTGGTTTATTATTCATTTCTAATACCTGCACATCCTTTCACTAATTCTGTTATAAAAATACAAACATTGTGATTCAACAAATCAAAAGGTGAACAAGAATGTAGGGTGAACAGTGTTATTATTGGCATTTATTCTCGATGCTACTGATATCCAAAAATGATATTGTGAAAATCCATTATTTGTGTAGTCTCCTGTGATGAAAAAATGGAGTAATGGCTAGTCAATGATGTAGTGAAATTATTGAATGCTTGCTGAACAATTCAAGGACAAACATGGCTAAAGAAGAAAGTTTAGATCAGTATTGTGAATTGTGATAAGTAAATGTATGGTGATGCAAGTATATTTTACTCGCATGAATCCATTTCGTGAACGCGAAAAAATATCGGTAGCCCATAATCGTCATCCGATCTCATCTCAGATCCAGATGGCGTTCGCGCGGAATCATTCAAATCACTAAATACCCTGCCGGGACATACACGAGAGTTCCATTTGTCAAGGCTGTCCTTGCAGCCGCCCTGTCGCCTTTCTACCATCGCAGAAATCGACTCTCACTCAAATAAATCCTTCAACGGTTTGTATTAAACTGCCTTCGACATAAGGTCGGCTGCCGACTCCGGACTTTTTCCGGTGACGGATCCTCTCGAAGGACTTTTCGAAAAAATGGATAATGTGTCCGATCTCGACATGAATGGAAGAAAGCGGTTAGGGCGTTTTTTGGGAGCAGGGCGTTTGTCGGGACGATGTGACGATATAACGTCTTGAAAGTTCGGAATTACTTCCCTTGGCTGGTTTTTGCAAACACTGGAGTAGTATTACAAAGCCTCGCGTACATTCTTTTCTAGTAAAATGCATCATTTTTATAATAGACTGGCCGATAATAGCAGATTTTGTGCAACGTTTTCTTAATAGGTGCGTGGACTAATTTTGTTATTTTTTCAATATGAATCATCACTCAAATGCCTTTCGATTTCATATTTTGTTAGAATTTTTCTGTCGATTTTCAGGTGCTAAAATCATCGATAATGCCGCGGTAATTCTCAAACGGATAGAAATTTACCGCGAGTAAAAACTGTTATGTATTGGTAATATTCCTATTTAGCAATACAAAATCAATTGTCTCAAAATGTTCCCTTATGATTTGTGGCTTATCGCCTAAAATACATTTCTGTAAATTGTTATTATATTGAATACTGTCTGTAGGTTAATCGAGGGGGTGGTACATTCATTTTACTTGATTTTTTGTGATTCTTTTTCCTCGTTTCTATAAAATAAAAATATACGTATTATTTCAATATATTTGTAGTGGAACAAATCAGATGATTTGCATCAAAATGTCACTGCGTTCAACAAATTTTTCTATCGGGGAGCCTAAAAGAAGAATCCAGTAGCTTGTCAGTGAAAATGTGTTTGAAAAAATGTTTGAAGAAAAGAAATATAGAATTTTACCTGGCTTAAGACTTTTCGGGACCGAATCTGCGTGGCATATAGCCATCAGGAAAGTAGTGGTTTTTCTCTCATTATCTACCATTCTCGTTCATTTTAAGAAATATTGTGGTAATGACTTTGAGTTTCTCTCATTGTAAAGTATATTTTAGTTATTTTTCATCTGAGAATTCAGCTAATGCGAATGCATTCCCACTTAATTCGACAACGATGATTAGTCAGTTTATCAGAGTAAGATTTATTGTCACCTTCTCCCAATTCTAACAGTTTTTCCTTTCTCAAAGTATATTTACTCCTGAGTTATTTCCATGTTCTCACGCAACCCTCGTATGCGAATGGAAATAATCAAAGTTTGGATGGTGCATAATATATGTTGTGGAAAGTTCTGCAATTGACAGATTCAATCACTAATCTCTGATCCGAGATATATACTTTCCATCAATTCGATTTCACTGACGAAAGTTATATGAAGAACTATACTTTAGTTCTTCATTATCGGATTGATATATTCAACAGAGAGCGGATATTATACAGGGTATATCACGAGGAGCTTACACTTCATATCTTTCAATCGAGAATCAGTCGCGAGAAATTTTTGAAAATGTGCTTGATTATATTTGAGATTACGCGCTCTTGTATGAGGCGCGTTTGGTTCATAATCATTTTTACCATACTCTTCGTTTAAAATGTTTTCGACTAGCAGTGTTGCCGCTCCTATCAAAAAGTAGCAACAACTTTGTCATTTCAAATGAAATATCTCTTCAAACGATGTAGCACACTTGGGGTTTACCGGGGATGATCACAGAGATAAAGGGTGTTCAAAATCGAGATTTTTCAAATTTAACAGCATAATGCACAACGATGACCTTCATGGTGAAAATGTTGGCGAGAAAGGAAGAAGACAAATATTTGATATTTTGACATGTCCGAAAATCGTTTGAATCTAACAACTTGTAGTTGCCAGAATAAAGTCCTGATTTGTCCGTTTGATCCTTGGAATAGAAATCGGAGGATCTGAGTTATTTTCAATTTTTTCTACGACTGCGGAGAAAGGGGGAGTGACAGGTTCTATAGCTGGAACACACTGTACAGCTCCACCAATATTATCAGACATCATCTTTCTGATCATATTGGAAATGTTGTGATTCGATTATTAATCTGTCACATCAATGTGTTTCGTGTTTTCGATAATGCGATTGATGGATTGAATCCGTCAATCATCGAGGTTAGGGCAATCACTTCAGCGTTTA